GCCTAATTTTGTAATTTATGGCTACCATCTTTGATTTTTTATACTAAGGGAAAGCCAAGAATAGAGGTACAACTAAAAATATTTTAGGATCTGTCTTAGTTTGTTCCTGTTGCTATACAAAGTACCTGAGACTGGATAATTTCTAGAAAAGAGAGATTAATATTCTTATAGTTCTGGAGGCTTAGACGTCTAAGATCAAGGTGCTGGCATATTTAGTGTCTGATGAGGTCTGCTCTCTGCTCCCAAGATGGTACTTTTTGCTACATCCTCTCATGGCAGAAGAGGCAAACACCTGCCTCCCATCTCTTTTATAAGGGTCCTAATCCCATTCATGAGGGCACTGCCCTTATGACTGAATCACCTCCTAAAGACTCTACCCCTTAACTGTTACACTGGCAGATCAAGTTTTCACATGGATTTTAAGGAGACACTTTCAGATGATATCAGAACCAAATGATTTCTGAAACACGCTTAGTTAAGGCAACCTGTGAAAATAGTTTTCTTAGAAGCTTTTACCTCTACATTAGTTTTAAAATGCTATTACCATAGTTTTGCATTTTTATTTTCAACTCTACAGGATTTCTAAAGATTAATAACATATTGAAGAAGACATTTGTTTTTCAAAATGGCAATATTTAGACAATTTCAATATTCTGAAACAGAAAACTTTTTTGGTGATTACATTTGTTTGATGCTTAATAATTATAAGCAAAAAGGTTTTGTAACAATAAGAAGCAACAATATGCCTGAACTCTATGGGTCTGTTGGAATGAGTAGGCAGTAAGCATAAAGTATTTGGGGGAAATATTTTATATTAAATATTTACTAATGACCTAGGTTATTTAATGAAGAATAACAGTGGTTAATGATCATGATGCCACAATTCAGCTAGAACAGAAGGACATATCACTCCTGAACAGCATTATGATAAGCTGGGAAATGGGTAGTATGTCCTAAAAATAGAATCACAACATTTAGGTCATTTACATTGTCAAATCTGCTGCATAACATGTGTTCTCTCTTTTTCATAAGAGCAAAAACCTACTACAGTTTTGCCTGTACAGGGATTCTTGTAAGAACTCTGACAGTTTAGGTAAGGTTATATAAAGATGAAAATATCTTTTCGAATTACATATCAGGAATCAATCACTTAGTTTACTTTACATGGCAGCGTGTTGTGCTGACAGGCCACTGATAAAACATGCCAGGGAGATGCAGATGCCTCCTGCAGACCCCTCTAGTCTCCTTTAATTTAAGCATTGCTTCCTTTAAAAACAATAGTGTTAGGATAAGAGAGCATAAAAAAATACATAGTATGGCATGTTTCAAAGATTTTTCACAACATCTTTATTTGTCTTTGTTTTTCTAATTAACATTCTTTTTATTTATTTGTTTGTTTGTTTGTTTGTTTGTTTTTGGAGTCAGGGTCCCACTCTGTTGCCCGGGCTACAGTGCAGTGGTGTGATCATAGCTCACTGCAGCCTCAAACTCCCAAGCCCAGGGTATCCTCCCACCTCAGTCTCCTGAGTAGGTGCGACTACAGGCACATGCCATCAAGCTTGGCTAATTTTTTCTTTAATTTTGAAGAGACAGTATCTCCCTACATTGCCCAGGCTGGTCTCAAACACCTGGGCTTAAGCAACCAACCGGCCTTGACCTCTCAAAATGCTGGGATTACAGGCACGAGTCATTGTCCCTGGACCCCTAAATCTTCATCAGCTAATCATCAGTTGGGTCATGGAAAAAAATTATAATGTAATTAAGGCAGGCTGTGAAATCTTAATTATTTACTTATGAAAGGAAGCTTTCTCAAAATAGTCCATTTTTCATTTTGTGGAATGGTTAAAGCATGGTCCTACTTTAAATAGGACCCAAGTTTCTTTTAACTTCCTAATTCAATTTTACATCCTGCAATTCTAATTTCATGAGTAAACACTCCTAGTAGAGGTCTCAAAAAACACCCACTCACTGCAATGATTTATCCTGTAGGTGAGTTAACTCTCTTCCATGCTCTCTTTTCCTTTCCAGCATTTGTAAAAGAAGATTGCATCTATGCTGCAACTACTTTAAGTAGTTTTGTATGAGCAATATAATATTTTTTCTTAACTCTAATACTGATGTTTATAACTGCACTTTAATCTGCATCAACTCTTTCTAATGACAGGCCACTTTACTTTGGGTCTATTTGGGTAACACTTTCTAAATACATTTCACTACCTTAGGCTAGTGGGCTAACAAAATGAAGAAGCAGACTCTGTGTAGTATTTTAAAGGGAGGGAGATGCCAAAAGCATTTCAGGAAGAAACATATCCTTAAAGATTATTAACACCGTGTCTACCAGAGTGAGGAGTAGGTGGTATAATATTCTGAGATATAAATTCTCTGAGGCAGAACATAGAATTTTACTACCTAAATGTAATAAGATGTATTGTGCTATCAGCAAAGGCTATGGAGCTCTATGTGATTAAAATAAAAAAGGATCCAAGTATCTGCCTTTAACTACCATTTAATGATAATGATTTTTGTCTTTAGCATTTATATTGGAAATCAAGGAAGAGGCAAACTGCAGGCTATCTAATACTAATATGAATAATAATAACTAACAAATGCCCCTTTCTTCCACCCTTAGTTCTTAGCAGTCTATGTTTATTTTCAATGAAAGTCCTCTTCCTTCATCTTAGTTTATGTGGTAATAGAAATGTTAGTTTAAAAATTGTCTTCTATCCACATGCTAATGAAGGGAGCTTACGCATTAGATTCACAGCAGGAAAGAGGACTCAGAACCGGGTGCTATGCAACTGTCTCTTTCATGTGTTACCTCATTTATTTCTCATGGAAATCCTTTAAGGTCCATAGTGTTACCCATTTACTTGCACAAATGTGAAAAATGAAGCCCGGTAGCTTCTAATAAATGTGGTCTCATGACCAGTAGTGACCTGGAGCTGGCTTATACTAGATGACAAAAGCCAATTATTAAATACTCAAAATTTTTGCTGGTAGTGTGAAATCACCCATGATGGGAGTATTTATATCCTGGGAACCTGCAAAGGAGGAAAAACAGTGCTCCAGTCCCCGGTCTTTCCACCCCACTTAGAGCATGTTTACCAGCCCACCACCGCCAGTTTATTGACACGAATTCAAACCCAAGTTGGTACTATACACAAAGCACATTTTCATTGCTTTCCTTCAAGCTGACAAAGCTTTTGAATTCCTATAGAATTAAGAACTGTTACCCAGAAAAAATGGGGTTCATTAGTGTGTTGAGTAATAAAGGTCTTTCCAGGGACATGGATGAAGCTGAAAACCATCATTCTCTGCAAGCTAACACAGGAACAGGAAACCAAACACCACATGTTCTCACTCATATGTGGGAGTTGAACAATGAAAACACGTGGACACAGGGAGGGGAACATTACACACCAGGGCCTGTTGGGGGTGTGAGGTTAGGGGAGGGTTAGCATTAGGAGAAATATCTAATGTAGGTGACAGGTTGAAGGGTGCAGCAAACCACCATGGCACGTGTATACTTATGTAACAAACCTGCACGTTCTGCACCGGTAGCCCAGAATTTAAAGCATAATAATAATAAAAAGTCAGAGGAAGATATAGTGACTCAAATATTTAATGTTTATCTTTTTAATTGTGAAATTGCCTTTGGGGTATTTGTTTATTATCAAATAAATTTTAAAATATTGCTTAATTCTAAAATATTATGTAAAATAAACGATTTTTCTGTTGTTAAAAAAAAGAGAGCAGGTTTTGATCAATAGGAGTTTGATTACTTGGCACAAGTAAGGAGGACACTGGGAATTTTCACAAAAGCAGTATCTCCCAGAGGGAAAGTGACAGGGGCATTTTATGGAGTAATAGAGGAGAAGGTACATCATCGCATGTAGAGGAAGGGACCCAGTTGCACAGATGCAGTGAGTAATCATTCCAGTGCGTAAGTCGCTTGTTATGGTAATGAAGCTATAGCTCCTCCCTAGGATGGAGACTTTAGCATGGTAATGAGCAAAATTCACCTGGGCTCCTCTCTGAGTTTCGGGGGTCTGTTAGAAGCTGGCTCCAACCAACAAGGTGACAGCATCCACACCAGGCTTGGGAAAAAAACAGGCGTCAGGGCAGGTGGCTGTAAAACTGGCTGATGACTTACATCTAAAGGTCCCTGGTAAAAATTTTAAAAATAAAATAAATGTTATGATCCCTGGAGACCCCCTGCCTGCTTACAGAACTATCAGATTCAGAGCGTCATAAGATACAACAACGTAACAGCACTCAGAGGCACTTCACCTTAATCCTCCGTTTTAATTTCTTCTTCTTTTATGTTTTCCTGTATTTGCCTTCTTCATTTCACTGAAATTTCTTAAAACTTGCAGTACTCTATGTATTTTGCATTTTTCTGCTATGACTCCTGGGATATTGACTAGACTAATAAAATTGAACTGAAATGTGACAGATTAAATTGCTACCAAATAGGTTAAGCCAAGTAGTGCTGGCTTTGATTATTCCTAAATTTTGTTATTTACCTATAAAATGGTATGAGTATTATCATATTTTATATACTTCTATTAAATTTACAGATTTATACCCATGTTTAAGTGTCAATTTATAATTATTTTAGTCTCTAGCCTTACAAAAAAATATGTAAGTTTTAGTGTAGATACTACATTCTACAGGCATAAAAGCAGTGTCCAAATAATTTTTAAAAGGTCAAAATAATTAAGACCAAAACAATTAGACTCTAGACTGTAGCAAAATATTAAAATAATATATAAACAATCTCCCTGCTTTCTAACAAAAAGAAAATAAAAGAAATGTAAAAATAAGTTAAAAGACATTGATCCCAAGTATTATATATTTTGTTTTAAAAAAGCTTGATTTTATATAAATTACTAACACATTGAAAGATCCACGTAGAAATGTTTATTTGCTAAAGCTGATATTTGAAATAATCACACACATGCACACAAAAGAAATGTTTTTCCATTTTCCAATTTCAGAGCAGCCTATGGTCATGAAGTAGGGAAGCGTCCTTGGATTACAGGAGATGAGAGTATCGTAGGCCTTATGAAGGACATTGTAGGTAAGTAGAAAACACTGAAATTGTTCCAAGTGAATTGTAAAGATACTATAATTTAGTTACGAACACAGGTTATAAAGTCAAAATCTTATTGAAGAACATCATGATTTTCTATTTTAATCTATAACAGTAAAGAGGAAGAATACTTTTAACTTAAACTTGTTAATTCAAAGATTGCTATTGTGAGCATGATAAGGTTATTTATATAAAAATTAAATATATGTTATCATTTTTTCTTGTATACTTTAAAAGTAATATTTATCACACTCATAAAAAACACATGCATTCTATTTTTATAATTGAATAAATTTCATAAAAATCGACTGAAATAAAATTGTTATAATTTCACTATTTAATAAAATTAACATTTTGACATGCTAAAGGTGTAAAACACCAATCATGTTTTTGTTCATTTCAATTCAATCTTTGATGATCTATTTAAATTTTAGCTTCGTGTTACTGAAAATGACATAGCTGATAATGTTTTTAGTCTAAATCGTGCTATATTAAAGAGAGTTATATATACTATTGGTAGTATTTAAGATAGTTTTAGATGGTAAATGTGTTAACATTTTGGAAAAAGTTATTTATTTAATTGGCTTAAATATTCAGCATTGTTTAAATTTAAGGTACTGAACAAAACATTATTGATACTTTGATAATTGGAGTGGTGCTATTTGGATCTTTTGCAGGACTTAGGGAAAACTCAAGTTTTCAAATCCTTTGTGAAAGCTTATTCTCTTGCAAGCAAACATAAAAATACCTTTATGGCTTCATTCCACTTGAATCTTGACCAGTAATTAGAGAGAAAATCAACATGGCTAGAAGGGAAATGGAGTGAGGAAAGCTGGACTTAATGTGTAGAAAAAACTATGGCAACTGGCAAACCATTAAAATCTGGAGAGTATCTTGCTTATTTAAACAGTAATTACTGATTCTTTGCTGTATGTCATGACTTGTGGGAGCTCTGAGGACATAAAAGTGAATGAGGGCTGAGCATGGTGATGCACACCTATAATCCCAGCAGTTTGACAGTCTGAGGCGGGTGGACTGTTTGAGCTCAGGAGTTCGAGACCAACCTGGCCAACATAGTGAGATACCATCTCTGCACAAAAAAAAAGTCAAAAATTAGCCAAGCATGGTGGTACACAGCTGTAGTCCCAGCTAGTTGAGAGGCTGAGGTGGGAGGTTAGCTTGAGCCTTGGAGGTCAAGGCTGCAGTGAGCCAAAATCATGTCACTGTTCCTCAGCCTGGATGACAGTGTGACACCCTGTCACAAAAAAAAAAAAAAGAATAAGAACAATCACCATCCTTATCTTTATGGACTGCCAGTAAATGAAGATGCAAATAAATCCAAAAGTAATCCATGTACCTAAGTAAAATACAAAGAAATATAAAATTAATCACACTACCAAAGAAACATAATTTTCCAATTGATTTAGGCCTGAACACATGCATGTAACTACTCTTTTTTCTAAAGTCTCACTAAAGAATTCTGAATGGAATAGAAAAAAAAACAACTATAAAATCTAAACTCTGAAAAAAAATAGAATGACAAAGGAGATGATATTAATGATATCTGGAGAGTTGGATGGCAGATAGACAAGTGGTAATTGCCTTTGTCAAAAAAAAAAAGTAAAACAAATCCTAGGCCGGACACGGTGGCTCATGCCTGTAAACCCAGTTCTTCGGGAGGCAGAGGCGGGCGGATCACGAGGTCAGGAGTTCAAGATCAGACTGGCCAAAAAGTTGAAACCCCGTCTCTACTAAAATATACAAAAAAATTAACTGGGCATGGTGGCTCGTGCCTGTAATCCCAGCTATTTAGGAGGCTGAGGTAGGAGAATTGCTTGAACCGGGAGCCAGGAGGCAGAGATCACGACACTACTCCAGCCTGGGCTACAGAGTAAGACTCTACCTGAAAAAAAAAAAAAAAAAAAAGGAAAAAAGAAAAAAATTCTAATCTCCCAGTGGCAAAAAATAAAAAGTCATCTGTTTTACCCTTCTAATCACCTGACCATGAAGAGAGCCAAATTCTGTAAAATATGTGAAAAGTAAGTTATTCTGTAAAATATTCTGAGCCAAATATGAGTGGTCATAATCCACAGTCTCAAGAGGTGTTAAGAACATGTGTCCAAGGTGGTTGGGTTGACAAAATACATCAATCTATACATGTGAGATATTCATTGGTTTGGGGTTGAGGGTTGGACACTAGCGTGGGTGAACAGTAGGAGTTTATAGGTCATAGGATTGTAGGTGGAATCAAAGACTTTCTGATTGGCAATTGGTTGGAAGAGTTAAGTTATTATCTAAAAACCTGGAATCAATAGAAAGGAGTGTCTGGGTTAAGATAAAGGGTGATATAACCCAAGGTTCTTATTACGTAGATAAAGTCTCTTAGGTGGCTACCCTTAGAGATAATAGATGACAAATGTTTTCTATTCACACCTGTACAGGGTTCTAGTATCTCAGTTCATCTCTTCTGGTTTGGAAGGGACTGAAAAGGGAAAGATTTCATTATATTTATAGAGATTCTTTACAGACACAAATTTTCTCCCACAATAGAGGACTTTGTAGGGCCACTCAAAATACTGCAAAGTGACATATTTTGGGGTAAAATATTTTGTCTTTATCTGTCATTTGATGTTATGCCAGACTAAGGTTGAAAAGTAAGCTGTGTTATATAGGATTAAATAAAACCCATCTGGTGAGATTTTATGTTTTTTAGACTGTTACTTCCCAGGCCTCTTAGGAATTTGGGAAAGAGAGAAAACAGGTCAGAGTTTAGTCAAGAATCACTTGAATCCAGGAGGTGGAGCTTGCAGTGAGCCGAGATCATGCCTCTGAACTCCAGCCTGGGCAACAGAGTGAGAATCCATCCTAAAAAATAAAAAAAGGATAACACATTGAGTACAAACTGAAAATCTTCCTTTCTATGACAAATACAGAGAAATGATTGAAAAAAAATTAACAAACATATAGAAGCAGTTAAAAATAAGTAAATAGAAATCTTCATAGACCAGAAATTTACAGGCATTACTGAAGAAAGGAACAGTCCAAAATCTGAAAGTAGTATTTTTGGAGCAGCACACGTGGAGTCAGGCTCCGTGTAGGACTTGAGTCAAAGACTTTCCCAAGAAGCTCCAGGGCTAATTTGCTTGGGTCTGAAACCCAGGGCCAGAATCTTTGACAGCCAGGTCCAGTAAAGGTCAAAACCAAGAATCTCCTCCCACACCAGTAGGTTCTCAAAACACAGTACACTTGATCAGGCTATCAGAATTACCTAGAGCAGTGCGTATTCTGATGGAGAGAGTTCTCATCTGAACATTCCCGAATTGCATTTAAAAATGTTCAAAATTGTTCTGTGATAAATCCTTCATTTGTGTTCATTTGTTAGAAGCCAATTCAGACATTCAAATATCTCAACATATAAACAAACAAAAAGCTGAAAAAAGAATCGCATTTAATTTGACCAGGGAATACGTGTTTCTCTTAGCTGTGGATTTTTTTTTTTCATTTTATTCAGTTTCCTTTCAGAACATAAACTGCATTCTAATCCTGTTATTTTGTTCTTAATATTTATCATCCTCTAAAGAGATGTTAGAATGGTTACGTACAAGCTAGGGAAATGGTAAAGTAATGTTATTCGGTGAGATTTATTTATGAAGCCAATAAAACCTGCAAAAAGGTTTCCTTTGACCATTTAAAAGTTTACAGCTCTGTTGCAATTTATTAAATGTGCAAGAGCTTTGTTGCCCAGTAAATACACATATGTCACATAAAGATCACTGAAATTTCAAACCAGCCACCTCTCATTATTGTTACTAAGGAAAAATAAAAGATAAGAGAAAGACTAAATATTCAGTCTTGTTTAGAAAAGTAAAAGGAATAAACTTATTTTAAATTTCTAAAAGAAAATTTATCAACCATAGATGCGAGGGTTTTCTACCTGTCTTTGAAAAACCACATAGTAATATAATTTACATTCTGGCCCACAAGACTGCCTCCATGTCAGATGCCAGTCAAAAGTCCTAGAAACCACCCTTACTCTGACAGCCCACCTGTAAATTCAGGGATTTCCACAGTGCCCTCCACAGGTTCCATCATTTGCTAAAGTAGCTTGCAGAACTTTACTTTCACTTTACTTTATGTTTACCAGTTTATTATAGAGATACAGTTCAGAAACAGCCAATGAAAGATACGTAGGGCACGGGAATGGGGAGCTTCCTTGCCTTCTCTGAGCCTGCCACTCTCTTGGCACTTAGATATGTTCATCAGCCCAGAACCTCTCTGAGTCTTACTGTTCAAGAGTTTTTATAAAGCTCAATCCCAGCCCTCCTCTCCCTCTGGGAAGTCAGGGGGTAGAGCTAAAATTTCACCCCTTGTCCCTCTAATCACTTGTCTTTTTGATGAGCAGCCCCTCACCCTGAGAAGTCTCTCAGGGCCACAACCTAAGTCACTTCATTAGCATCAACTCTCTTGTGATCTAAGGGGGCTTGTTATGAATAACAAAATGCACTTTTACCACTTGGGATATCCAAGGGTTTTAGAAGCCTGTGCCCTGAGCTGGGAACAAAAACCAAATATTTCTTGTTATACTACACCTATGGGACAAAGTTCCTTTAGTTTTCTGCATTTTTGTCTTTGAATGCTGCATTAGTTAAATCAGATGTGTTTGGTCTCAAATGTAATGTGTGATATAGATAGTAAAAACTATTTCTTAAAATGACAAAGTGAGTTTTGTAGATCTGAAACTTCCTAAACAAAATATTTATAACTTTCCCAGTCTCAAACCTTATGACAGATGCATTGCCACATTTTATTTGAAGTCTTTTCAGTGGTCTGGGTTGTAAATCAGAGTTATGAAGGGTGTGACAGCTCCTATGGTTAGGGAGTTTAGAGCCACAGGAATTTAAGAAATTTGCCATGCTGGCTTGTCACAGAACCCATGACCTGACCTGTGGGTAACTTAGCTTCCTTAACCTTTGGGTACATCTTTATCG